CCTCCCAAGTAGTTGGGATTACAGGTGTCCACCAACACACCCAGCTAATTTTTGCATTTTTAGTAGAGATGAGGTTTCACCACGTTGGCCTGGCTGGTCTCTAACTCATGACTTCGTGATCCACCCCCTCACCCTTCCAAAGTACTGGGATTACAGGCATGAGCCACTGCACTCAGCAGGAATGCTTTTACACTGTTGGTGGGGGTGTAAATTAGTTCAACCATGTGGAAGACAGTGTGGTGATTCCTTAAGGATCTAGAACCAGAAATAGCATTTGACCCAGTAATCCCGTTACTCGGTATATACCCAAAGAATATAAACTATTTTACTATAATGACGCATGCACACAAATGTTTATTGCAACACTATTCACAATAGCAAAGACTTGGAACCAACCCAAATGCCCATCAATGATAGACTGGATAGATAAAATGTGGCACAGAGACACCATGGAATACTATGCAACCATAAAAAAGAATGAGTTCACCTCTCTTGCAGGTATATGGATCAGGCGGAAACCATCATTCTCAGCAAACTAACACAGGAACAGAAAACCAAACACTGCATGTTCTCATTCATAAGTGGGAGTTGAACAATGAGAACCACATGGACACAGGGAGGGGAACATCACATACCGGGGCTTGTTGGGCAGTGGCAGGAGAAGGAGAGGGCGAGCATTAGGATAAACACCTAATGTATTCGGGGCTTAAAACCTAGGTGACGGGTTAATGCATGCAGCAAATCACCATGGGACATGTATACCTATGTAACAAACCTGCACATTCTGCACATGTACCCCAGAACTTAAAATATAAATTTTTAAATATAATTTTTTAAAATTACACAGCTGGTTTCTGACAGAGCTGAGTTCATAACTGGGTTACCTTAGGATGTTTCCCTCTTTTCTTCTCCTGTGCTACCAGAACTGATATCAAAGAGAAGGAAGAAAAGCAAAATATTCAATTTCACTACTTCTTTGACAGTTTGATATGTTGTTGTCCCTCAAAGGCCATGATGATGATATGTCATCTCTAACTTTCAGGCTAATTACAGGTACATATAATAGGTGGTTGTTTGGACTATTTCAAAAAATAGAGACAGGTTTTCACTGTGTTGCCCAGGCTAGTCTTGAACTCCTGGGCTCAAGTGATCCTCCCACCTTGGCTTCCCAAAGTCCTGCAATTACAGGTGTGAGCCACCACACTCATCCTTTTTTTTTTTTTTTTTTTTGAGATGGAGTTTCACTCTTGTTGCCCAGGCTGGAGTACAATGGCACAATCTTGGCTCACTGCAACCTCTACCTCCCAGGTTCAAGCAATGCTCTTGCCTCAGCCTCCCAAGTAGCTGGGACTACAGGTATGCGCCACCAGGCCCAGCTAATTTTTGTCTTTGTTTTTTTTGTTTGTTTGTTTGTTTTTGTTGTTTTTTTGTTTGTTTGTTTGTTTTTCAGTAGAGATAGGGTTTCTCCATGTTGGTCAGGCTTGTCTTGAACTCCTGACCTCAGGTGATTCACCCACCTCGGCCTCCCAAAGTGCTAGGATTATAGGCATGAGCCACTGCCGTACCCAGCCTGCTGTTTTTTTTTGTTTTTTTGGGTTTTTTTTTAGATATGTTCTCACTTTGTCACCCAGGCTAGAGTGCTGTGGTGTGATCATGGCTCACTGCAGCCTCAACCTCTTGAGCTCAAGCAATCCTCCCACCTCAGCCTCCCAAGTAGCTGGGACTACAGGTGCATACCACCACACCTGGCTAATTTTTAAACTTTTTTTGTGGAGATAAGATCTTGCTGTGTTGCCCAGGCTGATCTCGGATTCCTGGGCTCCAGTGATTCTCCTACCTCGGCCTCCCAAAGTGTGGGGATTACAGGCATGAGCCATTGCACCCAGCCTATTTGGCTTATTGATTTATTGAGTTGTGGAGTCTGCTAAAGGAAACCTCACCTATGTATATTTGCCCTTATGTTTGACAATACATTGATGTACTAAGACTGCAGTGAAGACAGTTTTGTTTTTTTTTTTTTTTTTTTTTTTTGACTCAGTCATTCAGCTTTTTTTCAGTGCTGGTTTTTGGTTCCCTGAAGACAGTTTCTTAAAGGCAGTGTGGCATATCGGACATAATGTAAGATATACAGTCAAACTGTGTTTAAATCTCAGGTCAATTACTTGTATCCTTGGGCAAGTCAGGTAAGCTCCATGAACCTCTGCGTCCTATTAAAAAAAGGGTGATGTCACTATCTACCTACTATACATACTTCACAGGATTCTGGTGAATATAAAATGAGGTAATTGTAGGGAAAGCTTTCCCTTGGCCCTCTGAAGACTTGTTGAAAAATAACTCACTGCCAGGTGCGGTGCCTTATGCCTATAATCCCAGCACTTTGGGGAGCCAAGGCAGGCGGATCACCTGAGGTCAGGAGTTTGAGACCAGCCTGGCCAACATAGTTAAATCCCTACAAAAATTAGCCAAGCATGGTGGCAAACGCTTGTAGTCCCAGCTACTTGGGAGGCTGAAGTGGGAGGACTGCTTGAACCCGGGAGGCAGAGGTTGCAGTGAGCAGAGATTGCACCACTGCCTGGGTGACAGAAGGAAAAGGAAAAAAGAAAAATAACTCACAAAAGGAGATTAATTGGAGAAGAGGTGTATACATGTATTAATGTGCATATGGGGAAGAACTACAGAGTGATTACTTCCAAGTTCCCAATAGGGTGTGGAAGTTTATGTATCATCTTGAGGTTCCATAAAGAATGAGGATTTGGATAATGGCAAAACAGGTTATGGGAGAGGAAGAAGAGGAGGCCTGGCTAGCAAAGGTGATCTCGTGTAGGGGAAACCTCACAGGTAGCAGCCTTCACAGAGAATAGATGGTGAAGGTTTTTTTCCAGATCTTTAAAACTGTTGGACTCTCAGTTAACTTGTTTTAGGTCAGAGAAAGGAAGGCCCTCAGAGAAAAGCAAACTGTACTGATGTAGACTTTTATAGATATCAATCTCTCTCACTATAGACATCCTTCAGCTATTCTATTTCTAGACCTTTTGAATAGACATCTCGAACTATGTCCAGGAAATATGTTTTGGGGTAAAACATCTTGGTTTGCTTCATAATGTTTGTAAAAATACATTTGTAGATCTTGTGGGAAGAGCTGAAGCAGGCGCTCTTGGCTCGGCGCGGCCCGCTGCAATCCGTGGAGGAACGCGCCGCCGAGCCACCATCATGCCAGGGCACTTACAGGAAGGCTTCGGCTGCGTGGTCACCAACCGATTCGACCAGTTATTTGACGACGAATCGGACCCCTTCGAGGTGTTGAAGGCAGCGGAGAACAAGAAAAAAGAAGCCGGCGGGGGCGGCGTTGGGGGCCCTGGGGCCAAGAGCGCAGCTCAGGCCGCGGCGCAGACCAACTCCAACGCGGCAGGCAAGCAGCTGCGCAAGGAGTCCCAGAAAGACCGCAAGAAACCCTGCCCCCCAGCGTTGGCGTGGTTGACAAGAAAGAGGAGACGCAGCCGCCCGTGGCGCTTAAGAAAGAAGGAATAAGACGAGTTGGAAGAAGGCCTGATCAACAACTTCAGAGTGAAGGGAAAATAATTGATAGAAGACCAGAAAGGCGACCACCTCGTGAACGAAGATTTGAAAAGCCACTTGAAGAAAAGGGTGAAGGGGGCGAATTTTCAGTTGATAGACCGATTATTGACCGACCTATTCGAGGTCGTGGTGGTCTTGGAAGAGGTCGAGGGGGCCGTGGACGTGGAATGGGCCGAGGAGATGGATTTGATTCTCGTGGCAAACGTGAATTTGATAGGCATAGTGGAAGTGATAGATCTTCTTTTTCACATTACAGTGGCCTGAAGCACGAGGACAAACGTGGAGGTAGCGGATCTCACAACTGGGGAACTGTCAAAGACGAATTAACAGAGTCTCCCAAATACATTCAGAAACAAATATCTTATAATTACAGTGACTTGGATCAATCAAATGTGACTGAGGAAACACCTGAAGGTGAAGAACATCATCCAGTGGCAGACACTGAAAATAAGGAGAACGAAGTTGAAGAGGTAAAAAAGGAGGGTCCAAAAGAGATGACTTTGGATGAGTGGAAGGCTATTCAAAATAAGGACCGGGCAAAAGTAGAATTTAATATCCGAAAACCAAATGAAGGTGCAGATGGGCAGTGGAAGAAGGGATTTGTTCTTCATAAATCAAAGAGTGAAGAGGCTCATGCTGAAGATTCGGTTATGGACCATCATTTTCGGAAGCCAGCAAATGATATAACGTCTCAGCTAGAGATCAATTTCGGAGACCTTGGCCGCCCAGGTCGTGGTGGCAGGGGAGGACGAGGTGGACGTGGGCGTGGTGGGCGCCCAAACCGTGGCAGCAGGACCGACAAGTCAAGTGCTTCTCCTGATGTGGATGACCCAGAGGCATTCCCAGCTCTGGCTTAACTGGATGCCATAAGACAACCGTGGTTCCTTTGTGAACCCTTCTGTTCAAAGCTTTGCATGCTTAAGGATTCCAAACGACTAAGAAATTAAAAAAAAAGAGAGAGACTGTCATTCATACCATTCACACCTAAAGACTGAATTTTATCTGTTTTAAAAATGAACTTCTCTCGCTACACAGAAGTAACAAATATGGTAGTCAGTTTTGTATTTAGAAATGTATTGGTAGCAGGGATGTTTTCATAATTTTCAGAGATTATGCATTCTTCATAAATACTTTTGTATTGCTGCTTGCAAATATGCATTTCCAAACTTGAAAAAAAAAATACATTTGTAAAGTGTTTTAAAGGGCTCCATGAAATTTGCAAAGTAGCTGGGTGCAGTGGCTCATGCCTGTAATCCCAGCACTTTGGGAGGCTGAGGCAGGCAGATCACAAGGTCAGGAGTTTGAGACCAGCCTAACCAACAGGGTGAAACCTCCTCTCTACTAAAAATACAAAAATTAGCCAGGCATGACCATGCCTTCCATGTGCCTCACAGTCTCTCAACTTCACACTGGGATCTCCAGCCTCACCGTGGCTCGAAATGGATCCCAACTGCTCCTGTGCCACTGGTAGCTCCTGGACTTGTGCCAGCTCCTGCAAGTGCAAAGAGTGCAAATGCACCTCCTGCAAGAAGAGCTGCTGCTCCTGCTGCCCCGTGGGCTGTGCCAACTGTGCCCAGGGGCTGCGTCTGCAAAGGGGGGTTGGAGAAGTGCAGCTGCTGTGCCTGATGTGGGGACAGTTCTGCTCCCAGATGTAAATAGACCAACCTGCACAAACCTGGATTTTTTTTTAAATACAGCCTCGAGTCATTTGCTGTATTTCTTTTTCTATTAAATATGTGAGTGACAATAGAACAACTTTGACTTGAAAAAAAAAATTAGCCAGGTGTAGTGGCGCACGCCTGTAATCTCAGCTACTCAGAAGGCTGAGGCAGGAGAATTGCTTGGACCTGGGAGGTGGAGGTTACAGTGAGCCAAGATTGTGCCACTGCACTCCAGCCTGGGCGACAGAGTAAGACTGACTCAAAAAAAAAAAAAAAAAAAGAGGCCGGGCGGAGGCTCACGCCTGTAATCCCAGCACTTTGGGAGGCTGAGGCTCACGAGGTCAAGAGATCCAGACCATCCTGGCCAACATGGTGAAACCCCTTCTCTACTAAAAATCCAAAAATTTAGCCGGGCGTGGTGGCGCGTGCCTGTAACCCCTGTCCGTGCGCTGAGGCAGGAGAATTGCTTGAAACCGGAAAACAGAAGTTGCCGTGAGCCGGGATCAAGCCACTGCACTCCAGCCTGGTGATAGAGCAAGACTCCGTCTCAAAAAAAAAAAAAAAAAAAGGAAAAGAAAAGAAATTTGCAAAGCGTAAGTTTTACATAATTATGAGGTTTTTGTTTTATTTTTAAGACAGGGTCTTGCCCTTCCACCCAGGCTGGAGTGCAGTGGCATGATCATAGCTCCTGTAAACCCAAACTCCTGGGCTCAAGGGATCCTCCTACTTCAGCCTTCTGAGTAGCTGGATTACAGGCATGCACCACCACAGTTGGCTAGATTTTTTATTTTTCTTTTTTGTAGAGACTGGTTCTTGCTATGTTGCCTAGGCTAGTCTCAAACTTTTGGGTTCAAGAGGTCCTCTGGCCTTGGCCTCCCAAAATCTGGGATTACAGGCATGAGCTACCATACTCAGCCACTATGATTTATTTCAAGAACAAGTATTAATTCAGGCATACTCTACTATGTATGATCAAATATGAGGCTATTACAGCTGTTCACAGATGAGCTAGCCAGTTTTCCTCCCCTTCCCTACACCTGGAAGACTGTGGCTGGACAGGCCATTTGTCTAGTTCTGGTCATTTGTTGTGAATGGAAGTGATCTGCATCACTTCTGAGTCAAAGCACTCAGTTTCCAGTGTAAGACCCTCCAGAGCTTTCTTCCCCTTTGAGATATATATATATATGCCATATCTATAATATACATATACACATATATACATACGTGTGTGTGTGTGTGTGTGTGTGTGTGTGTGTGTATAATTTGCCTGGTAACATTTGAAATGTTGTTTTCTCTAACAACCTGGGTCCAAGAGTAACAAAATTATGAAGAAGAGGCCCTAGCCAAGCCCTAGCCAACTCTCTCTGGACATGGGCATGAGAAAGAGAGAAAGTAAGGTTGTTCTAGGACACCAAGATCGTGTTGTTTCTGTTACCTCAGCAGAACCTAGCCTATCCTAATGAAATCACTGATTAGCTTGGCTATTTTGAGTTGGATGTTTTGGTCTATGTCAGTGAAGGTGTATGGAAATGTCTGTTTAGTAAAGAGACATAAGAAGATAATCTTGGCAAGTAATGGTCTTATGACTTCCTGCATGTTCTTCCTTAAGCGAAAGAATGGCACAGGTTAGGTGTGGTAGCTTATGCCTGTAATCCCAGCACTTTGAGAGGCCAAGGTGGGCAGATTGCTTGAGTCCAAGAGTTCGAGACCAACCTGGGCAAATGGCGAAACCCCGTCTCTACAAAAAATTTAGCCAGACATGGTGGTGGGCACCTGTCGATCCAGCTACTTCGGAGGGCTGAGATGGGAGGATTACTTGAGCCCGGGGAAGTCCAGGCTGCGGTAAGCCGTGATGGTGCCAGTGCATTCCAGCCTGGGCAACAGAATGAGACCTTGTCACACACACACACAAAAAAGAGCGTCACAGCACAGAGTGAACACCTTCTTCCCTTCATCAGTATAGTGAGCAAGGGAGCCAGGGTGTCAAAAGTTTCTACTTTGATTCCCAAATTCAGTATTTACCAGCTTTATGACACTTTAAGCAAATAACTTAATCTTCTGAGGCATAATTTCCTTATCTGTAAAACGGAGGTGATGCCAAGCCCAGTGGTGCATATGTGGGTGTACCAGTAGTCCCATCTACTAGGAAGGCTGAGGCAGGAGGATCACTTGAGCCTAGGAGTTCTGGACTGTAGTGCACTATGCTGATTGGGTGTCCTAAGTTCCGATTCAATATGGTGACGTTCTGGGAATGGGGACCCTAGGTTGCCTAAAGAGGGGTGAACTGGCTCAGGTTGGAAATGGAGCAGCTCAAAACTCCTGTACTAATCAGTAGTGGTATACCCCATGCTAATCAGTAGTGCTATACCCCATGCTAATCAATAGTGGTACATCCAGTGCTAATCAGTAGTGATATACCCCGTGCCAATCAGTAGTGGTATATCCCATGCTAATCGGTAGTGCTACATCCCGTGCTAATCGGCAGTGGTATATTCCGCACTAATCGGTAATGGTATATCCCGTGCTGTTCTGTAGTGGTACACCCCGTGCTAATCGGCAGTGGTATACCCCGTGCTAATCAGTAGTGGTATATCCCATGCTAATCAGTAGTGGTATAGCCTATGCTAATCATCAGTAATGGTATATCCTGTGCTAATCAATAGTGGTATAGTGCCTGTGAATAGCCACTGCACTCCAGCCTGAGCAATATAATGAGACCCTCATTTAAAAAGTTTTTAAATGAAATTTAAATGGAAGTGATAATACCCCTTTTGCAAGTGTTGTCTGTAAAACGGCCTTATTCCTGGCACAAAATAAATATTATTTGGTGGATATTTAGTAGCTGCCTATGCTTTCTATTTTGGGATGATTTCAGCAAATTGCAACAAAAAACCAAGTTTAAAATAGTTTAAGTAATAAGGCAATGTATTGTCTGCCATAAATGAATACAAACATAAAATTTGGTGAGGTAAGATTTAGTGAGGTGGCCGGGCAAGGTGGTTTATGCCTGTAATCCCGGCACTTTGGGATGCTGAGGTGGGTGGATCACAAGGTCAAGAGTTCAAGACCAGCCTGGCCAAGATGGTGAAACCCCATCTCTACTAAAACTACAAAAAGTAGCCAGGCGTTGTGGCAGGCACCTGTAATCCCAACTACTCAGGAGGCTGAAGCAGGAGAATTGCCTAAACCCGGGCAGCAGAGGTGCAGTGAGCCAAGATCACACCACTGCACTCCAGCTTGGGCTGCAGGTGAGAATATGTCATAAAAAAACAAAACAAAGAAACAAAAAACAAACACAAATAAAATAAAATCTGATGACCCCTAACAGAAAAGTATTTGTAGGCTGGGCACAGTGGATCACACTTGTAATCCCAGCACTTTGGGAGGCTGAGGTGGGTGGATTATGAGGTCAGGCATTCAAATACAGCCTAACCAAGATAGTGAAACCTCATCTCTACTAAAATTACAAAAATTAGCCAGGCGCGGTGGCAGGCACCTGTAATCCCAGCTACTCGGGAGGCTGATGCAGGAGAATCGCTTGAACCGGGGTGGCAGAAGTTGCCGTGAGTTGAGATCACGCCACTGCACTCCAGCCTGGGCGACACAGTGAGACTCTATCTCAAAAAAAAAAAAAAAAGATTTAGTGAGGTAAGGCGAAAGGCGTAAGGGAAGCTGGAAGGTATTCAATTATATTCAATACTCATGCACCAAGCATTGGGGTAGGTGATATGGACATAAGGACTTTACAGCTTGGTGTAGGAGGCAGGTACCTAAATAAACAATACTATGATGCATGCGTCTGGGGGTCAGAAAGACATCGATTTTTTTGTTTTTGTTTTTGAGATGGAGTTTCACTATTGTTGCCCAGGCTGGAGTGCAATGGCACAATATCAGCTCACTGAAACCTCCGTCTCCTGTGCTCAAGCGATTCTCCTGCCTCAACCTCCCGAGTAGCTGGGATTACAGGCATGCACCACCATGCCCAGCTAATTTTTTTTTCCCCTCCCAGCCTAATTTTTTATTTTTAGTAGAGACAGCGTTTCTTCACATTGGTCAGGCTGGTCTTGAACTCCTGACTTCAGGTGATCTGCCTTCCTCGGCCTCCCAAAGTCCTGGGATTACAGGCATGAGCCACCGCACCCAGCCAAGACATGAGTTTTTGAATCCTGCTTTTATTCTTTGCTAGCTGTGTAATTTGGGGCACTTTTTAAAAATTAAGAAAAAAAAATTTTTTTTTTGAGAAAGAGTCTCACTGTCACCCAGGCTGGAGTGTAGTGGCCTGATCTCAGCTCACTGCAACCTCTGCCTCCCAGGTTCAAGTGATTCTCCTACCTCAGCCTCCAGAGTCGTTGTGATTATAGGCATTTGCCACCATGCCCGGCTATTTTTTTGTATTTTTAATAGAGACAGGGTTTCACCATATTGGCGAGGCTGGTCTCGAACTCTTGACCTCATGATCTGCCCACCTTGGCCTCCCAAAGTGCTGGAATTACAGGTGTGAGTCACCGCACCTGGCCTGGGGCACATTTTAAACATCTATGATACTCAGTTTCCCTGTCTATGAAATGAAGATAATATTTAAGATGGAGGCTGGGCGCGGTGGCTCACACCTGTAATCCCAGTACTTTGGGAGGCCGAGGCGGGTGAATCACAAGGTCAGGAGTTCAAGACCAACCTGACCAACATGGTAAAACCCCGTCTCTACTAAAAATACAAAAATTAGCTGGGTGTGGTGATGCCTACCTGTAATCCCAGCTACTTGGGAGGCTGAGGCAGGAGAATCGCTTGATCCTGAGAGGTGGAGGTTGCATTGAGCTCAGATTGCACCATTGCACTCCAGCCTGGGCGACAGAGCAAGACTCTGTCTCAAAATAACAATAATAATAATAATATTTAAGGTATTGGCCGGGTGCCGTGGCTCACGCCTGTAATCCCAGCACTTTGGGAGGCTGAGGTAGGCAGATCACCTGAGGTCAGGAGTTTGGCTGCACCTGGATAACATGGTGAAACCCTGTCTCTACTAA